TTTTAGAGCATGCAGGCTATGCCAGCTCAATGCAAAGCTAATGAGTGGTATCAGAAATCTGTTAGATTGAACTAAGCAAGTCTGATGTAGTCTATATTCAGAAAATGGGGCATTTTTGTTTTCAAAACTGCTGAAAACTCTGAACATGGTTAATTGTCATCAATAAAGGGAAGGGGAGGTGGGACAAATAATGACAGACACAACATGTTTTTTGTTTACACACACACATATTATAAATCCTTACCATGACAACAGATGAGATTTTTTTTTTTTGCATAAACAACTGGGCCCCGTCGAATCTGACTCTGTAATATATAACAGCACACATACATATATGTGTAATATATAACAGCACACATACATATATGTATACATATGTTACTGTTGATCAATTGATAACACTTTGTACACTACTCTAAGTGCAAGCACTTTATATGAACTGGTATGTCATCTGCTTACATCCACCCTCTCATATACATACATAATTTGCTACACTCCCACACACACACATTTAGTCACACCTAATTAGCCACACTCATACATACACACATGCCTCTGTTAAGCCACACTGACACACATACCTAACTAGTCACACACACACAGCAGGATAGCTGAGCCTTTGGCCTCCTTCCTGCTCTGTCTCAACATGTTCCTCTTTCACATGCAAGGGTCATAGGGATATTTTATCATATTCCAGCCCCCCGTTTCCTAATATAGTGTGAGCCACCTAATGAACACTTCTCCTGCTCCCTACTATACTCTAGGTCGGATTAAAGTAACTCACACTATAGAGCTGGAGCCTCATCTCTGTTCCCAGATAAAATAATTATTACACCACTCATATAGAGTACAACTCAGATTAATCTGTGCATGACTGGAAAACAAAGGAATGCAGAAATCAGGATCGAAATTAAGGAATCAGATTCTCAATGTGAAATTGTGACTTATATTTTGAACTATAATGAGAGTAATAGGGAATGTGATAATAAAATGCAATAAAATATAATTTAACTGCTTACATAAAGCTAAGCGGAAAAAGGTGCCTATACCAATTCTCACCTAAACATTTAATAGAGGGGGCCCAAAGTGCTTATAGACACTACATATTGCTTCACTGACTATGATGCGTTGCTGGTGGCTGCTACCTTACTATGGAGTGTAAGGTGCAAATGTACAAATGTTCTGGGGTGAATGCAGCACTTAGGTCTGTACCTATTTAGAATGTATGTTATAAGATCAATGGCTAAATCATGTTTCCAAATCCCATGTTGCACAGTGTGCATCAACACTATCTATTGTGGAGGCTGTCATCACCAGGACATACATATTGAAAGAAGAAAAACTACCAAGAGGACATAATCTTAAATAAGAGGGGCAAAGGTTTAAAAATAATATCAGGAAGTTTTACTTTACAGAGAGGGTAGTGAATGCATGGAATAGCCTTCCAGTTGAAGTGGTAGATGTTAACACAGCGAGGGAGATTATGTATGTGTGGGATAGGCATAAGGCTATCCTAGCTATAAAATAAGGCCAGGGACCTAATGAGAGTATTTAGAAAATTGGGCAGACTAGATGGGCCAAATGTTTCTTATCTGCCGTCACATTCTATGTTTCTATGTTTCTATACACAGTCTGTCTCTTTCCCTAACTCCTCTCCAGTCATATGAGTAAAGGGAAATGGACACACAGATAGGAATTACTTCTGCTCAGAAATGTGCCTCCCATCAGAATCACATTGCTAAGGGGGGTGTATGTCTCAGTCTGTGAGTGTGTGTATTTGCATGTGCATTTTTTTATATATAATGTGTACTCCTGACCTGCGATGGTGTTTGATGCTTCCTGAACCTGTCAGTGACATTAGTTTACCATAATGAACACATTACCAGTATGTATTGTCTCGTACTCTCTCTTCTTTTTTTTGGGGGGTTAACACCGGTTTTTGTTTATCCTGTTTCAAAAGGTATTTATAAGTCAGCATTATTTATAATTAATTACAGATTTTCTTGGGGATTCTTAACTACATATGCCACATGCATTAAGGACCTATGCCTTTTTAGACACATTTATATGAATGCTGCTTTGATTATTTTACATTGCTGTGAATTATACAAATAAACAACATAGATATTTTTTTATAATTATACTAAGGGATCTTTCTGCATTATGAGCCATACAGGGAAACAGTCAGTTAGGTTTTCTCAGTTATGTTATATACACTACAGATAACATTCATAATGATCCAAAGAGTCTGCAAAATATAAATTTTTGAAACCTATAAATTCAAGCCAGGCTCTCCCCTTTCTCATTGACCTATGCTGAGTTTACTGTTATCCAAAACAATATCTTTTTTTGGTCATTATATGCATGACCTCGCATGAGATGCAAATGCCCTGAAGGGCAAGATGTAACTTAAATTTATTAAGATGAACTCTGGCTCATAAAACCACCACTAATCACACAATGTGCCAGACACTGAAAAGAATGCGCCTGGCTCTCTCATAGTAAAAGAACCCATTTATTGTGCCTTCAAAAACCTTGCTGAATCCTTAAGTGCAATAGCATTTAACAGCATCCTGGGATAAATATATATATATATTTAGATGATTTTTATGAAAGTAAAATGTACTTATTAGTACATATTTCACATTATATATGACATATACAGGAAAAAGAGAAAGGTTAATGGTAAATTTGTACTTAAGCAAACTGCCACTCACATTAATAAGAGCCATCATTTTGGCTCTGGAGGGGATATTTCTAATCTTTCATTTTCATATTTCCTCAGTTTGATTAGTTATAGAGAAAGATAGAAAATATGTATTAATATTATAACATTATCATATTAACTCATTAACTATGTAGGTAATAGCAGTTCAACTCACATAAAGCAGATAGTAAACAACTGTACTGCTTTCAAGGAAGTAAGTAATGTGCCTCTTTATAAATCCCTGATAAAACCACATCTTGAAAATGCTGTGTAATTATGGGCACCTGTTCTAAAGAAGGATATTATGGAACTAGAAAGGGTGTAGAAAAAAAATTAATTTAAAAAAAGGTTAACATATTTAAACCTCTTTAGTTTAGAAAAACAGCACCTTAGAGGGAATATGATAACATTATACAAATATATCTGGGGCCAATACAAACCATTATCTGGAAATCTATTCACAAACAGGACTATACATAGGACACAAGCTCATGCATTTAGACTGGAAGAAATTAGATTTAGTCTGAGTCAAAGGAAATGTTTTTTTTACAGTAAGAACAATAAGGATGTGGAATTCGTTGCCTGAAGAAGTGGTTTTATCAGAGTCTGTACAGATTTTTAAACAGCTACTCGATGCATACTAACAAAAACATAATATGCAGGGATATCATTTTTAACTTGTGGGGTAATAGTTTCTTAATCCAAGGATAAATCTGACTGTCATTCTGGGGTCAAGAGGGATTATTTTCCCCCTAGTTTGTTGCAAAATTTAAAGTGCTCCCAACTGGGCTTTTTGCCTTATTTTGGATCAACAGTAAAAACAGATGTAGGAAAGGCTGAACTTGATGGATACATGTCTCTTTTCAGCCTATTTAACTATGTAACTGGTCTTAAGTCGATGGTCCTAAAACATAAATTATATTTATAGTTTAACAAAAATAATTAAACCTATAACGATAAAACTACCACAAGGGCAACAAAATACGGAAGTTTCTATATGGCCAATACAAACCAGTAATATCAGCAATAATAATAATACCCCTTCCTATGTATTACTCTTTTTGGTATTGCTCGTTCCTGGGGCTTCCTGAACTAGATAATAATCAATTTGGAACCCTGCTATGGTTGGCTTACTCTCCCTTACCCCTATCACTGTGTGTTTGCATACCACTGGAAACAGGATATAGAAGAATGGCCACTGTATTGACTAGGGCCAGCTGATATTGTCCATTTGAATTGACTAAAATATAAGAATTTTCAGTATAAAAGTATACGTGATCTTCTCTATTCATATACTGTTTTGCCTTAGTGTTCTATGAACTCACAGAACTAACTTGGCGTCTATATTTTTACTATCTGTCTGTATTTTATGTTAGAAAAGTGTTAAACGTGTTATGTTTTACATTTAATGTTCCAAAAAGAGCTGATGATTTTGTCTTACTCACCTATTGTTTTTAGATTTGCAGGATGGGTATCACTTACCACAATATATATACCACACTATAACACAATAAAGTTGGAATTATCGGAGATTCCAAGTAAATTTAAATGTTTTGTCAAATAACCAAATAGTAAACATTATCAGCCATGTTTCCAGTTTGGCCATTTTTCCCTTAATTTTTAAAAATTATTTTTAAATTCCTTATCGCTTACCTTAGTGAATATCTTGTCTATTTATGGAGTAGATCCCTAATTGTAAAGCTAAATCATTTTAAAATCTGCGTAGAAAAGGACGCGTCTGCCCAGGATTACATGACTCAGGCAATCTATCCATTCATATTCAGATTGGATTAGAGACCCTTGATCAAAACAAGTTCTTTCATTACTAGTAAAGTACGAAAGTAAAAGTACATTTATTTCTAAAAAAATTTAAAATTACTCAATCATGTTATTAATCTCATGTACAAGAGCGTCTGCATATGAGTCATACACTTACATACAAGCATTTACTAGTAAATTCTTTCTTGATAAATATAATGACTTATTTAATTTGCACAATAAAACCGGAATAAATATAATTTACAGTGAAATAATTCTAAATGCATAATTATTAATAAACCAAATATTTTGTATCCATGATTTCACCAAGCTTGGAAGAGAAGAAAAAAAATATATGCATCTCCTTTTTGTAACGATCTTGCCTCAGTGCTGGCAATAAAATTTTACAATTAGCCCAATCAGGCTGCAGATCCTAGATGTCACTGGTGAGTAAGAAAGAATGGGAGGACTTAGAGGCTGAAGCCAGGCAGCTGGAACTTGCAGGCATTGGTAGTGTTTCTGTGCAAAAGAGCACCACACATGCAGACTCCACACTCACATCTATACACAGTTTGGTGTCTGTAACACCATCTCAGCAAACTTTACTGTACATTGCATAAAGGGGAAGGGAGCATGGCAGGAGCAGCAAGCAATGCCAAGGGGATCTGCTGAAGTGTCAGTTTAGGAAACAGGAACAGGCACAAGGAAGGTGCATCTTGCATAGAAGTGGAAGCACAGAAACCTCCACCTGGTGATGAATAGCCTTATCATTTGCTTATTATAGGGGATCTAAATAGAGAGAGAAAACCTGTGTGTTTTGGGAAGACTGTGTTTATTGGCTGGATCCGTCGCCCCCGTTGGAAGTAAGAGAGCAGATCTGTGTGTTAAAGCAGGAGGCAGTGCGAAGGGAGCGGGAGGAGGCTGGACAGGCAGCCGCTGCACATGCTTACAGAGACGGATACAGATCACCCGGTAACCCTGCAGCTTCTCTCAGCTGGCTGTCTACATCCAAAGGCGGCAGCGATCCGTCGGAAAGGGGGTCATATTTAACCGCCAAGGACATCTACCAACATCGGCTCACCCTGCCAGTGCTGGTTATTTTTTATACTAAAGGTGTGTGTTTTATTCCACGGCTGCTGCATCGCCCGGGATCGCTGTGTTCTGGGGATCGAACGTTCGGGGAGGTCTGGAGATTCTTGGAACGCTTTCTTGGAGTATTGGAGGGTTGGGGGATCTGCAGTGTCAATGCGGCTGTACTGAGGGAAGGGGGAGAACAGGCTCATCTCCCAGGTAAGAAGTGACGGGGGGCAGGGTCTGGGGGCATTTTTCGGGCACTGAGCGTTTTAAGGAGGCGGTGAGATGCCGTATGACTGGACCACCTCCAGCCCCCCGTGCTCGGCTTATTGCCATGGCCATACTCTGGGGGGTAAATCTACCTGCTTGTTGCCCTAGTGACTCTGCGTGCACCTGATCAGATGTAGGATGGCACAGTCAGTGCCAGCCTTGCCCTGCTCCCTGTCTGGCATGCCTCTCTCACTATTCTAGCTGGCAGGGTAGCTGTGGTGGGAATTCGTTGCATTTCCAGACCACTTGAGTTAAAGGAGCAGTATTGCGGTATTATAATGAACCCCCATACTAGCACCACGATGTTGTGCAAAGCAATACTGAGTATGACTTCGAACCACTGCATTTAGTTATACGGATATTTTATTCTATTATATTATTGAGGGGTGAGGGGGGTCTATGCTAATGTATTTCAGCTGATGCCCCTTATGTCCTTCAAAATCCTAAATATTAACCCTCCACTCCAGTTCCTGAACACACACCCACTGCAGGGAATGGTGGCTAGCTCCATTCATCTGTTGGCACTGGGCAGAAAAAAGTGAATAAATGAAATATTTCTTCCATGATAATTCTCTACCAGATTATGCTCATTAACCCACTAACACACATAAGAAATCAATTTAGGGCCTTTGGAATTACTAAGAAGATTATACCGTGGCATTATTACTGTCTGAATAGGAGCCCCTAGTAAACCGAGCTCAGCTTTCCCTAGTGGCAGGTTAATGGGCATAGGAGAGCATTGGATCTGACCCAGTGTGAACATTGCAATGTGAGCTAAGTGAGGACGGATGTGTAGAGTAACCTCAGCACCAGCATACAATATAGCCTGTTCATAAGAGTGGGAAAATCATTGTAATACTGGTTGTGATCCTGTAATGATGGTGACAAACACCTCCACGGCTACTGGGAAACCCACAGAAAGTAATATTAACACATTTACACATATAAAACATCCATCTACTTTCTAATTCTATATATACATTATATTGTTATATTTGAAACACGTACAGTTAAAAAAAAAAATCTGAATATATATATATATATATATATATATATATATATAAAACATTATAATTTATTTTCCAAACTACTGTGATACAGAGATACACAAACAGATTCACATTACATTTACACATTAAATGTATACAGTAAGGCTTTATTCTATCTATCTATCTATCTATCTATCTATCTTTTTTCCTTTCCATCATGTATTTTAGTGCACACACATATCTACTGCCCCTTAGAGGCAATACAAGTTTAAGTGGCCCCAACATTCACTGTGTACCAAACTAATGCAGTGCGTGTCTCTCCAGTCACACACAGTGGATAGACCCCTTTGCAGTAAAATGTCTTGTGTACAAATCTGTATATAAAGCTACAGTAGTCCATGCAGGAGGAAGCAGGCACTGTAATTAAATGTTGGCTGTGACCAAATGTTGGTGTCTATTCCAAAAGCATAGATACATTTTGTGACTGGTTGGATGAGCATAGTTATTTTCTGTATTTCTTTTTACTGCAGCATGCTCATTTAATATGGGTTGGCAGCAGTTAACATGCAATGTCGCTTTTCAAAAATCCCACAGATCTGTGGCTAGCTAAGCTCCCTTCTGCTGCACTGGCTTGAGAGTCAGATTCCCCGATCACAGCTTCATTTAAGCCCCCTTACCATTAAACTCTGTAAAACTTGACAATTGTTGTGTCTTCAACATTATACTTTGTTTCTCTTTAATGTTTTTTGTTTTTGTTTTTTTGCTAATATTTGGCCCATCTTAAAATGTTTCCAGTGACAAGTTAATTTAATTTTATAAAATAATTGCATAGTGCAGAACTGTTTTATTAAGCACTGGACATTCTTGCCATTGTCCTACATCTACTGCACATTTATTCGTTAAGTCCATTTATGTCGTGAATATGGCTAGTCGTTTCACTGTCACTGGGACACATTGCAGTACTTAACTAAGCACGAGTCTGACAAAAGTGGCAGCAAGAGCACTCTGCACGTGGCAATGGCTTCACCTGTATTTTATTCAGAATTTGGCATCTTCCATATCCCCCTATCTAAAAGAAAAATACAAGCATTCCATCCTCCATGCAACATGGGTACTGTGATGAGAAGGCATCCTCTTTACAGATTAGTTAAGTTAACACTTTAGCTTGATGGCAATATCTGATCTAAGACATGGTTTCAGGCAATAATTGGTTCTCTTCTTCAGCATGTCAAACAGAGCCAGCCATCTTTGGGCTCAGAAAATGCGTTGGAATCAAATATTTGAGGGGCATAGTAGAAAACAACAGAAGGTTCCCCTGTGCCTAATTGTCAGTAAATATTTGAGCTCATCAATCCCTCATATCTAAAAGTCTTTGATTGTGAGTAATGACCAGGTTCCAATCTACCCTTTGCCCTGGATGCATAATCTAAAAGTTGTAAATCCAAGTATATATAATATTTTAAACAGAACATTTACCAATTCTATGTTATTTTCTTCTACTTGAGTTCTTTGAAAAATATCTACAAGGTTTAAAGGCAAATAGTGGTGCACCCTTGTGGCTTGGTAGAGTATTTTTCCATACGCATATATGTGCTCCCCCTGATATCCAGACTTAATTCATGCATGATTTCCAAAGTTTTACTTTGGAGTTCTGTTCATTAACACAGGATGCCAATCAATATCTTTCGTGCCTTCATTTGTTGCCGTGCTCCATACATAATGTCCAGAATAGATGTCCACTTGAAGGACCACTTGTATTAGAAGTAGCATGACTAATACTATTCAGGCTTTCATTGCATTCTGTACAGCTTCTTATTTAATGTGTTTATGATTCATCATGGTTTTGCAGAATGTCAAGCCTGCTCTTTTGAGAAGATAGGTGCTTAATTTCGCTTACGAGAAACCTAAAGAAAAAGTTTGATTTCTTCATACAGTAAGGGCTAAAGTGGGTCACGTTGAAGGAGTATTTATTGTCTGATTACGTTCTTAGACAAGGAATGTCCACTAGGTCTGGTTAATTTGTGACCAACAAAGACTAGCATGGAGAGCAGCTGGTCTAAAATATCTCCACTGAACTGAGCTTACATGGAGAATCACCTAAAATAAATAAAAAGAGTTTCCAGGAAGGCTATGTATTGAACAAAAGAAATGTTTGTCAGTATCAGTGGTCAGATTAACAAGCATTTGTAACCTACTGATCTAACAATCAAAACGTTAGCACTGTGTTCCAATTTCAGACTCTCATCTGGTGGTAGAATGCTTCTAGAGTCTTTGTTATAGTCATGTTGTATGTGCACGTTTATATTGTAATAAAGGCAGACAGACCATTTTTGTACATACAGTATTTTTATTAAACAGAGTTTTCTAGTCTCCAGGAATCTCGGGCAGGGGATATATGCATTTCTAAAGATCTCCTTTTTCTTTATTTTTATGAATCTAAGCTATCCAGAAATGTGTTGTACAATGTCCACCAGCATCTGGCTCTCAATGTATTGAATGCAGCAATAAGTCAATCTTCAGAGCTAGGAAGAACACGTACTGTACTGTCTGTCTGTGTAGAATCTGTTTTATGTTATTTAAAATATGTATACTTGCCTTATTTTTTTAGATGGGGAAGATTTTTAATGATCAGAATAACAGGTTTCATCCAGTATTCATGTAAATGTCTAGGTAAATACATTGCCAGTACAATTTCTTTCTTTTTTTTCTTCTTTTTTTATTATTCTTTTTGTTCTTCAATTAAATCCTGCACAATCAAAAGTCCTTAATCCACAATATGCTCTGGTAGTTATTCATAGCATTATACCAGTGTCTGTATCCATACAAAGACATAATGTAAACTTTATGTGACTATATCTCAAGCTGCACTTCTTTAGAATAGCTGTGAGTTCCTACATACTTTCCAATCAACAGCCTGGGCAAGACTTTCCAGTAATTCAGAAAATGATGGGGCCCTAGCAGTACCTAATTCCAAAAGTCATCTTGCAGGACTAACTTTACATTTGAATTTTTAAACACTGTACTATAGGTTTATTTGATTGATTTTATTCATGATTGTTACCATTATTACTGTGGATTTCATTATTACTGTTGAGATATATATATATATATATATATATATATATATATATATATATACATATACAACTAATTGTGCAAAGCTGACCGTGAAACAGGTTTGCTGATCAACTCAAAACCTCTGGTTATGTAATAATGTGGCTAATTTGTCTCAATCTGATGTATAGTAAATTACTGTGACTTTAGTTGATATTTACTATGACAGTACTCTCTACATCTGCAATAGAGAGAACCAGAGGCATAGTCCTGGAAACATGGCCATATAACATGCATTATGTAATACATTCAACCTTATGGAGTTTTCAGGGTGGCAGGGGCATGATAAAAGTGTTTCAGAGATGCCTGCATTCTAGAATGAGGGTTGGTTTATGTGTCTACCTGTAACATTTTGTATTGGATGAGTTCACCTTAGTTTAAAACATAGGATGTAAGTAACATGCAAACTGGAAAGACTCATGTCACCAGGATGAACAAAACTACTTGCATAGCTTCAAAACCATAAAAAAAATGGATTGATAACCCATCTATCACTGATATAGAAACATAGAATGTGACGGCAGATAATAACCATTCGGCCCATCTAGTCTGCCCAATTTTCTAAATACTTTCATTAGTCCCTGGCTTTATCTTAAGTCTAGTATAGCCTTCTGCCTATCCCACGCATGCTTAAACTCCTTTACTGTGTTAACCTCTACCACTTCAGCTGGAAGGTAGCT